CATGGCAGGTGCCGACGGTGAGGATTTGGGTCGGGACCTGCTGAGTGACCTCAGGAATGAGAAGCTGACCGAGCAAACGAAGGTATGCACAGGCCCACGGGGTCACCCCAGTCTTCTGCGCAACGAACCTCAAATTCACAATTCCCTGTTGATTCTCCACCCCAGGTTTCTTTGCTGTCCCTGAGCTTGGAATACCCATCCGAGCTGTGGCCTGATGCTTCTGCAGCCGAAGCAGCCGCCACTTCCTTGTTGGATGTCCTGGTCCTCCTACCCCCACGGCCCTCAGCTCTAAGGAAGCCCCTGCTGCTGGCGGCTACCTCCGTCCTGGTGACAGGAGGTGTGCTGGGCTCCACCTCAGGAGCCTCCTGCCGGCTGCTTCCTCTGCTGCTAGGCCTCGCTTCGGGTCGAGATGTGGGTCGAGGCTTTGGCCCCATTTCAGAACAGCGTCCCCTGCAGGCCACAGCGTGTGAGTGCCTGCGAGAGCTGGAGAGCTGCAAGCCCGGGCTGCTGGGGGGCTCGCTGGGGCTGCTCCGGAGTCTGCTGGGGCAGGAAGGCCCCATCCAGCCACTCAGCCTATTGTTGGCACTTTCCCTGAGGGACAGTTTGGTGATACAGTCCAGATCTGGGGCTAGCCTACAGGGCCTGCTTGTGTCTGGGTTTTCCACTGGGAGTGGTCCCTGGGACTGGACCCTAGCTGAAGAGGGTGCTGCCCACCTTATACCCCAGGCACCCAGCTGGCCCACCCCTTATGAGGGGGGATGTGGCCTTGCAGCGCTAGAACCCAGTCCTGAGGAGGCCCGGGAGCTGAGGGCTGCGGTGGCCCAACTCCTGGACGCCTCCTATCTGCTCACTCCTGTGGCCCAAGCCCAGCTACTGTGGCTGCTGGGCTGGACCCTACGAGGTCTTCGGGGACAGCCACCGGCGCTTTTCAAGCCCCAGCTGGCACGGCTGCTGGGCACAGCACAGCTGACCCTGCTGCATGCTGTTCTTGCTCTCAAAGCGGCCTTTGGGGAGGCACTGTTCACTGCTCAGGATGAGGCCCTGCTGCTCCGACGGCTCACCTTGGCCGCTCAGCATCCATCCCTGCCCCTGCCTACCCACCTCTTTTACCTGCACTGCCTCCTGAGCTTCCCTGAGAACTGGCCACTGGGCCCTGAAGGGGAGGAGGCTGCCCCATTACTGCTGGGGCCCCAGCTGTGCCGCAGCCTCATGCCCAGTCTTCTGCATGACCCCATGGCCCTGCTGGCCCGCCTGCATTTGCTGTGCCTGCTGTGTGCTGAAGAGGAGGAAGAGGATAAAGGCCAACTTCAGAGCCCATGGCAGTACCTGGAAGAGTTGCTGGCTGGCTTGCGACAGAGGGCAGCTGTGGGTGGCAGTCCCCGGGCCTTGGCCACTCTCTGCTTCCAGGCTTCATATCTGGTTGCCAGCTGCTTGGCTGGGAAAACAAAAGTGCTGACACCATTGATTCATGGGTTGGCCCAGCTGTATCGAGCTCGGCCTATGCTGGCCCCCCACCTTGTGGACTTCTTGGATAAGGTGGGCCCTGAGCTGGGGGAGCCCCTCAAGAGGGTGCTGCAACAGGAGGTGGTGTCCAGGCCTGTCAGGAATGAAGCTCTTCGCTGGCATCTGCAAATGCTGGCAAAAGTGGCAGAGGGGGATGCTCAGACTGCCACCCTCAGCTTTCTGCAGGCTGCTGCTACCCACTGCATAGACTGGAGCCTGCAGCAGGCCCTGCTGCGCGTCTGCCTTGCTCTATTGCAGGCAGGTGGAGGAAATGGCCTGACTGACCTACTGCAGGTGCTGGCCAGGCAACTGGAGGACCCTGATGGCCGGGACCATGCCCGCCTCTACTACATCCTCCTGGCTCACCTGGCAGGGCCCAAGTTAGGGATAGCCCTGGACCCCTCACTTGCAGCACCTGCGCTGGCCTCTTCCCTGGTGGCTGAGAACCAGGGTTTTGCTGTGACACTGATGGTGCAGGAGACCCCAGCTCCCATTCAGCTGAGTGTGGGCCCCCGGATGCTAAAAGGCTCATTACCAGTCCTGCAGCTTCAAATAGAGGCCCTGGAGCCCATATACTCTCTGGAACTGCGCTTCCGTGTGGAAGGACAACTCTATGCACCCTTGGGGGCCATCCGTGTGCCTTACCTGTGTCCTGGCCGCCCTGCCCACCCTCTGTTCCTTCCCCTGAAGCCCCGACGTTCAGCCCCCGCACACCTGGAGGTCCAGGCCCTTTACAGCACACCTGCTGGCCTCACATGCCATGCCCCGCTGCCGCCCCTGTCTGTGAACTTCGAAGACCTCTTTTTGCCTTTCCCCCAGCCTCCTGATGGGGTGGAACAGGGCTTCTTTGAGAAGCTGTGGGACTCCTGCCTGCCAAAGGGTGCTGAGAGTCGTGTGTGGTGTCCACTCGGGCCACAAGGGCTGGAGACCTTGGTGTCCCACCACCTGGAGCCCTTTGTGATAATGGCTCAGCCCCCCACCAACTACCACATAGCCATTCGCCTGCCACCGTCCTCCATGCTCCTGCTGCGGCTAGAAGCAGCCCAGGTAGACGGGGTGCCTGTGGCCCTGCGGACCGATGACTGGGCTGTACTGCCTCTGGCAGGAGACTATCTCCGTGGGCTGGTGGGCACTAAGTGAGCCCTGGGAAGCCAGGTGGGAACAGGACTATGGCCTTTGTGGGATTGGCCTAAGAGGAGCTACTAAATGCAGGGGACATACTCCTGTACAGTAGCTCCTTTCTCATAAAAACCCATATCCACTGATCACCCTCGCTGTCCTGTTTTCTTTGGGGTCCTGGTCAGGAGCAAGCTGACTGAAGTGGGGTCATAGGCCCCAGCCTAAACCCTAAGTTTGTAAAGCTATGTATTTTCTTCCTGCTTAGATAGGTTAAGAATTTCTAGAATCTGCCCAGGAGTCAGGAGGAAAAAAGCATCCTCTCTGTTCCTCTCTGTTTTCTGGAGAGGGTCCACCTTTGCCTGAGGTCACTCAAAAATTTAGTGTATAGAGGCTGGAGCTAGAACTAGGTCCCCCTGTCTTGGAGGCTGACTCTTCAATTCCCAAGAGTTACCAGGCCCTGTCCCAGAGAACTCAGTCTGGACAGGATGGTGGGCTGGCTGCTGGAATCAGCAAGAGGAGGCTGTGGGCCCATATGGCCCCTTCCCCACTTCCCCAGGCTGTATGGATCACAGCCAGCTCTAGGGAGAGCCTGCCAGGGCAGAGAAAGGAGGTCACATGGGCTAAAGTCAGGTTGGCTTGTCCTAACCCCAACCCCTGAGACACAGTCTGTCCTTTAAAATCTCAGGTAAGAAGAACTTGTTCTAGTTATTTTTCCAAACATGGAAGACAATTAGGATTTAGATGTACTGAGCCAACTCTGCTGTCCAGCAAGGAGCCAGTGTTTCCCACATACATTGCCTCATGTCATCCTCACAGCGGCTCTGCAGGGCCCCATGGATGAGGAAATCTGTAGGCCAAAGGGGTTGAGTGAACGTCACCAAGCTGGCTGGAAATAGTATTTTGTCACCCCGTAGCAAGTTTTCATTAGCACACTGTCAGAGCTCAGCGCTTCAGGGGCCACATAGTCTCCAGCCCTGTGCCCTGGGCAAACCCCAGGGTGCTGTGGAAGCAGCTGTCAGCAGCTCTAGATGGGAGAATGGGTTTGGGCCTAAGCTGTTCTGAGGCCAGGTCTCTTCTGCTGTCTCTGCCTGAGAGTTCCCAACCCTCCTGACTTGGTCAGAAAGGAGGGCCTGGGCCAGTGGGAGGTGGCAGAGATCAAATTGAGAAGTTTGCTCTGTCACCTTGCAAGTCCTTGCCAAATCAGGAAAGGGTCAGTTCCAGAAAATAAACTTCAGCTGTTTTCTGCGGAGATAAGAGGTGAGACAAAAATCTCAAGTTAGCTACAAAGCCTTGGGGAGACTAGGAGAGGTCTTCCAAGAAGCCACCTCTGGAGCTGTTGCTTTCCTGGACATACTCCCTGCCTACAGTCCAGCCACTTAGCACCAGGAAGCCAGCTACGGCTCTCGCTGGGGTGGGACTACTGCCACTGCTATGCACAGCACAAAGTCAGAGAGCCTGTCCACATCTGGGTGGGAGCAATTGAAAGTGATGGCCTTGGCCTGACCTCCTCCATCTGAGTCACTCAAAGGACTGGGGATGTTTCTCATGGAAATTTGGGAAATATAAGTTATTTTACACAGATGCAGAAAGTGGTATTAATCAGTAGCCTAAGATTAAGATAAATGGCCTATGTAAAGACTGACCGTCCATCTTCTTGTCTATGGCCATGAGCCTATGTATGCAGCCGTCTCATTTTATCCATCCACATCCAGGGCTGGAGACCAGGTGGCCTCCAACCCCCACCCCACCCCACTCATACGTCGGACACTGCCTATGAGTTCCAGGTTGTGACCTATGAGTCTTACCAATGGGCTGTAAATAAGTGTTCCCACAAACCCCTCTGGAGGCTTGATGATTTTTAGGATAATTCACAGAACCCAGGGAAAGTCTCTTCTTATATTTATCCATTTGAAAGGATATTACATGGCTGGGGATTTAGCTCAGTGGTTCTGCCACCTGCCTTGCAAGTGCAAGTACCACAGCCCTTCCTCTCTTCCTGAAGCAATTATAATTTCCAGGGTTCTGTCCATGCTGTGTCTTTCTATTTGTTAAGGTTTTTTGTTTGTTTGTTTGGTTGTTTTTTTTTTGGTACTGGGGGTTGAACTCGGGTCCTTGTGCTTGCGAGGCAGGCAGCAGAACCACTGCAGCAGAATCCCTGGCCCAGTAGTTGTTAGTTTTTAGTTTGTTTATTTTAGTGTGGTCATTCAGGTGACAGCCTCAATCCTGCACCCAGCCAGGAATTACATCATTAGGACAAAATACTCTTGGACCTCACAACAATATTGCCACAGGATTGGGGGGAATGATTTGTTAGCATTTATTTTTGTACTTTAAAAATACAAAAATTAATGTGCAGGTCTTTAAATGTTACAAATTTCTGTTTGTGCTAACAGTCAAGATCACACCTAAGAGTGAAGTGTGGAGTGGTGAGCTGACTGTAAATAACATGTGTATTATCTGCTGTTAACTGTTGCCCATTCAAACAGAAATTCACCAACTTTAACTACCTTCCTCTATTTGGGGAGAATTAAGCAATGAATAGAGCCTCACATAATATGGATATAGAAGCCAGGCATGGTGATGCAGTCTGTAATCCTAGGCACTTGGGAGACAGGATCACCACAAATTTGAGGCCGGCCTAGACAGAGAGACCCTGTCTCAAAAACAAAACAAAATAGGGCCAGGGGGCTGGGGATTTAGCTCTGTGGTTCTGCTGCCTGCTTCGCAAGTGCAAGTTCCCAAGTTTGATCCCTGATACCAAACCCCCACACACACAAAAAAAAGTAGAAAATTTTCTGTAATCACTATGTAATTAGGCACTAATTTTCAGCTTGCTGTTGCATGCTAGAGATGATTATTTTTTGCCAATAACTAGAAACAAAAATTCAAAAATTGTGTCCCAGATTCTGATAGACATCATCAATGGGTATTTTTTTTTCCAGATTTAATTGAGTTTATTGGTACATTTTAGGGATACAGTACAGTTACATTCATTGTTGGGAATTTGTACCTCTACATGACATGCCTTGGTTCTCATTTTTTCCCCTTCCAATGGGTATTTTTAAAACCATTATTAGAAAGACCAAAACTCACAAATACTTATTTAATATTTTGTTGTCACTGGCCACAATAGTTTTGTTTTTGTTTGTGTTTTAGTTAATGATGATTGTTGATTTGGAAGTCAATGTCATGTCCTAAAATGTTGTTGTTATTGTTGTTGTTGTTGTTGTTTTGGTACCGGGGATCAAACTCAGGCCCTTGCGCTTACAAGGCAGGCAGCAGAACCACTGAACCAAATCCTCAGCCATCATGTCTTAAAGTGGACTCAATATGTCAAGGCCCTGAGAATTCTGTCTGATAGATCTGCATTATATTTTGCAAAAGTTCTTCATATTAAGTAACTTCCAAGGAAAAGAAAGATTTCAACATATGAATTGTCAGGGGGGGACCAACAAATAGGTCACAGCAATCAATAATTTTCCAAATCAGAAAGTAACAGACCTGGTGGAATTCAATCAAACATTTAGGCCAGAAATTATATCAATTCTCTGACATCTCTTCCAGAAGATAGAAGTCGAGGGAATACTTCCTTCCTCACCCTGTGAGGCTGGCATCACTCCAATATTAACACCACAGAAATATGTTACCAAAAAGAAAAGAAAATCACAGATTAATATCTCCCATGAACACAGATGCAAAAAACTTTGACAAAATATTAGCAAATTAGGGGCTGGGGCTATAGCTCCTTGGTAGAATACTTAACACGAACAAGGTCCTAGGTTTGATTCCCAACACTAATGATAAATTTTAAAATTAGCAAACTGACGGGCGTGGTGGCACACGCCTGAATCCCAGCACTTGGGAGGCTGAAGCAGGAGATTCACCATGAGTTCAAGGCCAGCCTCAGCTACGTAGTTCAAGGACAGCCCGAACCGCAAAACAAGACTGTGTCTCCATACAATAAAACAACAAAAATTAGTAAGTTGCACCCAACAATGCATAAAAAAGAATTATATGCTGTGAACAAGTGGGATATATCCCAAGTATGCAAGGCTGGTTTTGGGGGTTTTCTTGTTTGTTTGTTTTGGCATGGAACTTAAGACCTTGTGTTTACAAGGCAGGAGGCAGAACCACTGAGGTAAGTCCTGGCCCCTTTGTTTTGAGACAGGGTCTTTTTATGTAGTTTAGGCTGGGCCTTGAACTCATGGCAATCTTCCTTTCTCAGCCTCCAGAGTGCTGGGATTACAGACGTGTGCCCCCACGCCCGGCTAAGGCTGGTTTAACATTCAAAAATTAATCATATTAACAGGCTAAAGAAGAAATATCACAGAATAGTATCAATACATGGAAAAAAGGCATTTGACAAAACTCAACATTAATTCATGATAAAAACGCTCAGGAAGGGCCAGGGATTTAGCTCCGTGGTTCTGCTGCCTTCCTCGCAAGTACAAGGTCCCAAGTTCGATCTCCAGTACCAAAAAACTTTCAGGAAACTAGGAGGGGAACCTCCTTGAACTAATAAAAAATATCTGTAAAACATTTACCATATGATTCAGTAATTGTCTTCCCTGACAGCTACCCATATGAGCTGAAAACTTACATTTACATAGAAGCTTGCACACAGATGTTTATAGCAGCTGTATTCATAATTGCCAAAACTTAGTAGCAGCCAGCCATGGTGGCACAAGCCTGTTGGCCAACTATTTGGGAGGCTGAGGCAAGAGGATCATACCTTCACAGCCAGCCCAGGCTACACGGCAACTTAGTGAGACCAGTCTTTATATAAGAAAGAAAGGACTGGTGATGTAGCTCGGGTAGAGCACATCGGGTAGAGCATGTGCAAGGCCATGGGTTCACTCTCAGCAACACACACACACACACACACACACACACACACACACACACACACACGCTAAGTGATAGGTGGGGGGGTAAATTGGTAGAGCAGAGGAACTGTAGGGCTGTAAAACTGCACTGTAAGAGACTATAGCCATGGATACCTGTTGCTATAGTTAGATGTTACATGACACTTGTGCTGGAGGGTGCAGCTTAGTAGCAGAGCACATGCTTATGTGCAAAGCCTTGGGTTCAATTCTAGCAGCGTCCACCCTTCAGAAAAGTTGACCCCCTGTGCTTAGGGGAGCATGTG